TTCACTTACTATTAATAAATTTCAATGCCAACAATTCAAATTTTTTGATTTATATTTCTATTGAGCACTATTCAATGAAGAATAATTTTACAAAGCTTTGTTGCAATATAGAAACAAAGATAAAATTACATTTGAAAATAATATTGAGTATTTTAAACAATATATGTAATTTTTATCTGCCCCAGACAATAACAAATCAATAACTGAAGATGTACAGATATTTTAATCAAAAATTAACATCCTGCAAACTTTATCAGTAAATTTCTGTTACTTTGACATATATTTTGATTTTATTAATATATAGTAGTATAAGCAATAAGCAATGAAAAATTTTACAGTTTATAAATTAAAATTCTTTGTGGAAAATGCTGTTATTGTTTTTCAAATTAGTGTTAGAAAAATTAAATTTAAAAAAGTATGAAACACGAATAAAAATTACAGTAAATTTTTAAAATTAAATGTATTATTATAACTCAAAAAACTTGGCATCATGTTCAATGAAAAAATTTTGTTACCTGTTAAAAGTGAGGCCACTGACTAATTGCTTAAAAGATTGTGTAACATTGCCTTGATATCACTAGATGATTTATTTTATCAAGTGGTTTTGGTTTTATTTTGTGCTAGTTTTTTTTGTACTTTGATTTATTTTGACTCTTAATTTAAAAATGGAACACTTTAAAAATAAATATGCAAGCAAAGATCATTAATTCAAAAATATTCTAAAGTATATTCCAAGTTGTATTCTATTCTGCAAAAATTGTTGATGACGACTTGTGCTGAGTTGAAAATGTTTTAGAAGACAGAAAAAGCTAGTTTATATCCTCAATTTTAGCAGGTAGATTTGTTTCAGGAATGTATTATATTTTCAAAAGAAATACTATTGTTTATATTGATATGCACTTACATAAACTTAATTATATAACTTTTTAGAATGCAGAGAAATCATTTTCAACTTAAAAAATAAGACAATTATCAGAGTTTTAAATTTAATAGCTTTTCAATAATTAAAATTATTTACCATTCCATGCATGGAAAGCTAGAACTTTTAATAAGTTTCACAAAACCTTTCTTTTTCTAGCAGTTTCTTAATCCATAAGAGAACAAATGTTATAGCTGACGTTCCAATGTTATAGAACCTGAAGAAGGTCATTTAAAATGGCTGAAAACATTTATTCACTTGTGGATTAAGAAACTGCTAGAAAAAAAGTAAAAGGTTTTGTGAAACTTATTTATAGTTTCTGGATACAAATTCACTGAGTTCAGCGTTAATAAAGTTCCTTTAGTATTAACACAAGCACTTTCGATGAGTGTATAACCTTTGTCTTGCTGTACTCGTTAGAAGAGCATTACTGCTTCTGTCAATGCAGCTAGCAATAAAAATCAAATTAGACATCATCAGAGTAGCAGTATCGCTCGCAGGATTCACGCATGGCAAATATGAACATGTGCTCCGTAAGGTAAGAGTCCCTATACCCATGTACCACACTGTACAGAAAGGAAAAAGCATCCATGATCCAGTCATCATTGCCGTATCTTGGACCAACCTCTATAAGCATCAGCCGTGTATTTCGGTGGTATAATTTCATACTACCCATAGCCCCCTACCAAACCTATGCAGGTGTATTTGCAACGATCAGAACAGGTTAACCACTTTAGAAAAGTCAGGGGTTTACACGATACTCCTAGAAAATCTGGCAACGGGAGCTATTACAAGATACATAGGAGCAACAACAAGAATGCTCGCCTCCTGCCTTGATGAGCATCAGGACGACATAGCTAAAGGAAGATGTTCTACAGAGCTTGCTAAAAAAGTTCTTGAGCAAGGCTACAACCCGTTATGGCCCAGAACAACAATAATTAAATGCTGCAACAATCGAAGGCAGGTGTTCATCAGGGAAGCGCTTCTCACGGCTACTTCAGAAGCATGCAATGTTCCCACACTTGATCTACCCGGGGTGTGGATTGCCTTGTATCGGAGTCTAAAAAATGAAATGCACCTAACATCGTATCGCCAATGTGGTAGCATTTCCACGCATGCGCTGCTAGCATCGTAAAATATAAAGATTCGAACATACCAAAAACTAGTTGCACGTTCTTAACGGAATTTCCGGACACCTGGTTTGAATTTAAATATTCTGTTCCTTTGGAACATCCTGCACGTTTGTTTCATTAAAATTTATTCTTTTCACCTGAATATGACGGTTATACACTCGTTGAAAGTGCTTGTGTTAATACTAAAGGAACTTTATTAATGCTGAACTCAGTGAATTTGTATACAGAAACTATACAAAGTTTGGCGTGAGTTTTTAAATGTAACTTTTAAGTTATTTAAAATTATTCGATCATATAATTCAAATATTCCTGAATTTTTTAACAGATTTTTAATTATAGTTTTAGATGTTTCTGTATATTTAATTGGACAATTCAATTGGACAGATGTAATATTACACTTTCTTACACTACATTTGCTTACACTAAATATATGAAACAAATATTTGAGTAATTAATTTATTTTTAATACTTAAATTAAATTAATCAATAAAAGTATACTGCAAATATAATTCTGGCAAAATTCCTTATCTCAAAAAATAAAATAATAACATTATTATATGTCTCTTGCTATATTTAAAGAAGTTATTGTTAAAAAAAGTTTACTCACTTTTAAAGTAAAATAAAAAGTAATTAATTTACTTTTTGAAAAAAAAACTAATGGCATTGATATTTTATTCATGTATATTGAACCAAAACATATTAAAAATAAATAAATAAAACCACTTAGAGAATCAGTTTCAAAATTTAATTCATAATTCAAGAAAATGTAATGCTTTATAATTAAATATTTAAGAACTGACCAACAAGTCAATTGTGGAGTTATTTTTGGTCAGAGTCAGCCAAACTACTAAAACCTTATTCATTTTATTAATGTTAACTTGTGGTTAGTCAAACTGGATAAAAATTCATTATTTTCCTTCTGCAAGTTTATCATGTTTTTCACATTCTGAACTGAGATCTCCTTTATAATTTTCTAAGTTTTTTTACTGTTTTAGTAAATGCTGAAATTGTGACAAAAAAAATAAGCAATTGCCATAAATATATATATATATTATACTTGAAATGTAATTTCCTGATGCATAAGCACTCTTGTAAACTATTTTTTCCTTGTTTGCTTATCATTTAATGGTCGTTAGTGATCATTGCAGTCAACATGCCATTAAATATTATCATCTAATTACAGATTATTTACAATAAATTTACTTAGAGTAAGATAAATGCAATAATATATTACTTCAAAACCAAGAAACTCAATATGATCACAAACCTACTTCCTAATTTCATTTACTATACAAAAACTACCTAGTCATTTCTAATTACCTTGCAAAGAAAATCTCTGTTCTTACACATACAAAGAGAGAGACTTATAACTTTTTTAAAAAAAATATTTTAACTGATTAGAGATGATCGAGAAATGTAGCAAATTAATTTTAACAAAAGTTGACAATTAGAAGAAAGTTAACATAAATAAATAAATAAATAAATATATATATTGTATCAACTATGGAAAAGAACATTTGGCAGGAATTCTCCAGACTTGTGTTGAAATCATGCACAGAATACAATTTCCTTCTCCATAACAACTGGCTGTTACAAACTTCTGAAATATAGTTGACAATGTACAGAAGTAATTTTTTTTCTTTTTACAAATTAAAAAATTTGTTATTTTAACTTTTTAATTCATCTAGCAATACACTGGTTGTGATGCATTGTATTATCTGAAAAATATAAAAGTTGTTGACTTGGTTTTATTTATGATTTTATATTCTTAGAAATTTTTCTTGACTAATCTGATGCACATCACCATCATAAAAATTTAATTATTTTGAGTCAGGTTTTTAGAATTTTTCTTTTTGTTTATTAATTGCTACACATTTTCTCTTATTTTTATTCAGCTTAAGATTATCACTCATTAATGGCAGGTGAAGTGTTTACAAACAACATAGTCATTTGATATAATTAATATCATGAAAATACGTGATATTAAAACAATATTATTGCTGATAGAACAAGACCATAGAATGAATCTTTTTCAATGCCATACATTTTATACAATACATTTTAACAATATAATATAATCATTAAGAAAAACCATTTAGAACTTGGAATTATAATTAATGTATAAAGCTAAAACCAATATAAAGTAATGCTTTAAAAATTTAATAAATTATGGATAGTAGAAACAGATATAATTAAAGTTTAGTATAAAATTATTAGACTTATAGCCTCAATTATAAAAATAAATATAATTAGCACTAAGATTTACAAATAATTATTTAACTACTGGTCAGAAATGTAATTTTAATAATTCAAAAATTTAATAAGAGTTTTCAGTTGTTTATAAATCTCCAACAGCTCTCTAAGATTTTATTTAAATTAGTATATAATGTGTAAAATACACATTATATAAAGTCCAATATTATATAACATTTATATAATTTCCACTGTTCTGATGACAATGTTTTTAATCAGAATTGTTTATTATATGTTTAACATTTAAAGTTTATTAAATTTTTCATCAATTTATGATTAAAAGAAATCAAGAATTTTAACTTATGATTATTGATTTTTATTTATAATTTATCAATTCTTAACATTTAACATTTATGAAGCATGTAACTTTAATTACATGCTTCATAATTAATTGTACCCCAATATACAGATTTTGAACATACTTAAGTTTTTATTTTTATTTAAAAATTACAGAGCAACAAGAAATAATTTACTATTTGATTTATTGTATTTTATTTTATCAGAAAAATTTTATAAGTTTCATCAAAATCTTTTCAATCAAAATCTACACAATGTGAAATCTTAATATGGTATATTCAACTACTACATAAAATAATTTAATTTTAATATAGTTACAATTAGTTATATAATTATTATTACATTTTAATAGCAAGCAGATTTTTAAAATCCCAATATAAAATCAGTTTTATATTTACCATCAACTCCATTTTGTTCGTAAGGTCGTTTCCGAAGTAAACTAGAAGAAACACTATTTATTGTTGCAGGCAATCTAGTTATAGGTTCTTCTACTTCAATGGGTCGAGGAATAATTAACTGACCATCTAAAATACACAAAAATTAATAAATATTCCATACACACAAACACACACATATAAAAATTAATTCCAACTATTCAGAGCAATAAATATTAATGTTCTAATATATTAGTCAAAACAACAATTTTCTCATCTGATGTTTGTATAATATTCAATAGCACATCTATATTATCATAGTATTTGAAATCTACAAGACAAATTTCATAATAAATATTACATAGCTATAGTAAACTTTTACTAATTTAATTTCTAATGGACCTGAAAATAATTCTATTATCCAAAGTTTGGATTATTAAAACTAACAAAATAATTAAAATTAAGGAAAAAATATAACTGTTTATAAGTAAGAAAGAAACTGCATATATTTATTGAACAATAAAAATAAAACAAAAATATTACATTTAATTAATTAATTAATTAAACATATTTATCAAGTTTATTAAAACCGAATGAAAATGTAAAATGATAAAGCTTTAATAAAATGGCAATTTAATATTTCAGGAAAATTTCATTAAAGATTAAAAAGGAAAATATATGCAATAAGATGTAATTTTCATGACAAAGAAAAAGTTGTAGTCACTGGCATAATACATACAAATATTATGCATACTTTTTTCACAGTTTAATTAATTAAGCCACTGTAAATTTTGGAATGTGCCAAAAGGCATGACGAAAAAAACAAAAATGCAGAAACACATTCAGGCAAGCAAAGCAACCCAGAAATGCAATACATTATCATATTTTCAAAAGCCCAATCCTATGGTGAACAAAGTTAGTGTACCTGTGTTTCTACCTGTTAATGCTATAATTTAATTTCCTGCTACATAAGTGCAATAATAATAATAATAATATTTTACTAAAAATATTTTTAAACATAAGATAAATAACATTTGGTATTATTTGTGCAAGTTATAAAATGCAGATGTTCTGTACAATTGTCACCTTGCTGTACCCAATCTTCCTCTTGCTACGACAGAATGTTCAGGACAGCTGTTTAAAAAATATTTTCTTGGAAAAACCGAGTTAATGTTGCATGATGGACTTTTGTGGAAATTTTCTGCAATCATCATGTCCAGTTTCTCATTTTTGGATTTTGCAGCTGTCTAGTACAGTATGTTCTCAATATCATCTGTTTACATTCCTCAAATCTCTCACCAACTATCTACTTTGTTGTCTTTTGCATTATTATATTGGATTAATATTGTTATTTGTACTCTATTTACATAATTGTGACAAATTTTTCACACATGATTCAGCAGAAGGCATTATGCTTTGATGTGGGCCTTCAGTTTGATAGTACAGAAGTTACTGTACTTTGCTTTGTAACAGAAAGTATGTTTTTTTATAAGTACTGTATTGCAATGAAAATATTGTAAAAACAATTCACAAATAGTTGTGTGATAGGGAATGACTTTTCAATCAGAAAGAGGCAAAAGTGTGAATACTGAGAATAACTGGTGCATTTTTTACTGCATACAGCTTTTTTAAACATTTCCCAGCTTATTTTTGTCTTGCCTGCCAGATGATGAGCCTTTAACAAGTTGATATGCATGACAAATTCTAATTTAATTTATATAAAAGTGATATTTTTGCACAATAGAGTTTATAGAATGAAACAACTTGAATCAAATTAATAATAATAATGCCGTTTTTAGTTTCAATTTTTAGCAAAATAGCAGAAAGTAATGCTGTTGTGCATAAACCAAATTAAATATTATATCATACTAGAGCTATCATTTTCAGTGTATTTGATTATTTTTAATCATCAAAATTTACTTTATAGTAGTAATAAGATCAGTGAATTAATAGCTTATTAGGATAATAATTATTTTGTCATGTGTCTTAATTATCAAAGTTGTCTATAATGATGGCATTATTCAGATAGAGATAATTACCAGAAATTTATCAGCTTTTAAGATATCAATTCAAATAGGAGTATTTAATAATATCAATTAAAGAAACTGAACTGAAAGAAAATGAATAAAAAACTAAAGTATGAATGTACATGTCTTTGGTGGTTTTGGAAAAAAACTGCAAAGAACATGTTTGTGACATATAAAGGATTTTTCATGTTTTTAAAGACACTTTTAATGACTTCATACAAAGAAAAAGCTGTTTGGTAAATTCATAACTGCAATTTAAAACATGCATAAAACCTGCATCTTTTTCAAATTATCATTTAAAATAGATAATCTGTGGGCTATCCACTTGAAATTACAGTATACTCTAACAGCACTTGTCAATTTGTAAAAAAAAGCACAAAATGACAAAAAATATAATTAATGCAACAAATAAATAAAAATAATTCAAAAATCAGTTTAAAAAGATAATGAATACTTTATTAAATTAGTTCAGATAGAGTATGAAAATAAGTGATATGACTCAAAGAATAGAAACAAGTTTGGCTTTCAATACTGAGAAACATAAAAAAAAAGCAAATATATTTGTTCTTCATAACAAACAATTTTTATCTATTACTTTTACAGGAATTAATTTGGTAATTTCTTAAAATTCTACCATATTTCTATTTATTACTAATGAAAAAAGTATTAAATTATGAACTACTATTGAAAAAGTCATTTATTACAGTTGTTTGGATAAATATACAGTTGCATTGCAACAATAATACATTTTCACATTCTCCCATAATTTTAGTTGTTTATTGCATATAATTCATTACTTTCTTTTTTAAATACTTTTTTATATATTCTAGAAAACAATATAAATTGAATAAAAATATGATGACAATGTAATAATTAAATATCAATAATAAAAAATAAAATTGGAAAAATAAAAATAAAAAACAACAATTCTATATATTTTACAGTATATTAACATTGTTGATATGTTAATGTTTATTTTAATATAAATATTTAATAGCTTCATCTTATTTATTTAAATATCATAAAATTTTAAAACACATCCTATTAAACAAATACTCTTCTCTTAAAACTTCAGAGAGAGATTCTGTCAAGAATATAAAAACTGTCTTTGTCTGATTTCAGTTGTTATACTTCCAAAAGCAAAAACTAACAACAGTTTGCAAGTCATGATTTCAATTAATGTAAATTCATCAAAAATAAATTTTTATTTGAAATTTTCATTCACAAAACTGATTATTATTAAGCCAAATGACTGCCATATTTTAATCAGGCTACTTTACCACTACTATTAATAATTAAATTCTGAGTAATTTGGTGCTATAGTCTCACTCCAGGATGATTCTTTTCTTCCAGAATATTTCTAATTTAATAAATATTAATTTAATTATAATTATTAAATTTTATAAGAGATGGCACCTAAAACGTACCTCTAGTATCAAATTACTCAGAATTTAATTATTAATAGTAGTGGTAAAGTATCCTGATTAAAATATGGTAATCGTTTAGCTTATTATTATTAACTTTGGGCTTTGAAATGTTGCTATCTGATTATTATTTTTGAATTAACACAAAATATCTTTATAAAGAATAACTAACAGCATTTACATATTAAAATAACTAAAAATAATATTAAACTAGTCAGTTACCATTACATGATAAATTATAAAAATATCACATATTCAATGAAAATACATATATCAATGAAAAATAATCATCAGTTAAAATATGACAATTCCATTTTCTTTCATACGAAATAAAAATTATACTACTATATTGTAAAATGTTTGATGATTAATAAAAACCAACTTGTTATTAAATGATATAATCAATGAAATTCTTTACACAATCTGACAGATTCTATGCAAGAACTATGCAGTAAATAATATTTGAGTGTCTAACTTTTAAAATTTTTTAAATAATAATTTTTATCAATGTAGAACTAATTTATTTTGGTTATTGAAGTATGAAACTGTGCCTATGAATAAGACTTTTAGGACCCTGCATACATAATAATGTTCATATTGTTTTTGGTACAAATTCTATTAAAATTCATACAACTAATACAATATGTATTTAATTTCCCTTTCTTTTGTCAAGAAACTGACAATATTTGACAGTTCTCAAAGATGAAAGGTTAATTATGTAATTATTTTTCTGCACTGCTGTCCTGTGAAAATTAAGAGGGACTTTTAGTATTCATTACAGGTTTAAAAAATTAATTAATAAAATTAAAATTTTACAACAAAAATTTAAATCTTTGATGCAAAACTTTATCTTAGATTAATTTTATACAACCTGTTTTATTATTATATTCTTAGTAAATGTAAGAGTTGTGATAATTGTAAATGATCAAATATATATAAGATATGAACAGAGAAATTTAAATGCCTAACCAAAATATAAAAAGTGTTGTGAGAAGAAAATTTGGTGGTTAATAAATCAGACATAGTCATACCTGAGTATGTTAAACAATTTTTGATATTAGGTTTTGATTTTAACATGCCCTTTAGAAATGATGTATTAAAAATGGTAGCAGATATAGATTTGCTGTTATGAAGACTACCAGTTGATAAAAATAAAAGAGAGTAACTTACAGGAGACATAATTGAAAACTTAAAATAGGATGTTAAAAGCAAATAAAGGTAGACCACAGTGTATAAGTTCACAATTTTATAGGAAATTGAAGCAGGTACAATCATTTCTAAGTAAAAACAATCTTAAAATAGTTAGTGGATAAATCTAAACAAGTGGTTGTTAAAAATTATGATTAGAAAATAAAATATTAGAACAAGTTACAAGAACAATTTTATAAAATTAGATGATAATCCATTGAAAATAGTTTAAAAAAATTGGAAAAAGGATGAGCTATTATTATAAAGATAAGAAAATATCGGTTAAAGAAAAAGTAAAATTTTAGATTTTAATGCATGTAGAACCTCTATATGTAAAGTCAGAATGAAAACTCACAAACCAGGTAATCAATGTCATCTGATAGACTTTCATAATATTGTTTTCTTTAACTTGAAAGTATTTTTTAAAATTAAAAATACAGCACACAGAATTATTTGATATATGTATATATATAATGCAGACCAGCTAATTAATAAGTTAAAAAAAGTTGGAATACAGATCTTAATATTTAGGCTAATCATACAATATGAAGTCTATGTACCCATCAATAAAATGGACATTAACAGAAAATAGTTTAATTAATATTAATATAGAAAGTTAGTAACTAACTTAAACTTTCATTTGTTAGTAATTACTTTTTGGTAAATGGTAAAAAATTTATAGGAAAAAAAAAGTATTAATATGGGTACAGTATTAGGTTCTAGATTAGCAGAAATAGCTATGATTAACATAGATCAGAAAATTAAAAAAAATTGAAGGTGTGAATTTATTATCAAAATATGTGGATGACTTGTTTTTGATTTTTTATAAAAATAAAGAAGAAGAATCTTTTATATTTAATGAAGTAAATAAAATTAGTATAAATATTAAGTTTGAAATTGAAAAAGAATTCAATAGTAAAATTAATTTAAATACTACAGTTATTAGAAATAAATCAGGGTTCATTTTCACAATTTGAAAAACCTTATAATTTATGATTTTTCTAATATTGCAAGTCATATTGTTCAATGGATATAAAAAAGAGTTGTTTTATGCTAGAAATGCAAACATTATGAATCAAAGTGACTGAATTACAGAATAGTTACAGGAGACAGATAATTAAAAAAAATATTTATTAAATAATTATCTGAAGAGATCGATAAAAATTTGCTTTCAGAAATTCCTTAATGACAGATATAAAGTAAATACTAATAAAAGAAATAAAAATTACACATCATTTCCATATACTAAAAAAATGTGATCTTTTAAAAATAATCTCACAAATAACATGATTCTGGCTCCTAGCTTTAATACTAAAATTAAACATTAATAGAAAATAGGAATAATATAAAACATATAGGCAAAGTCATGGGAGTGGTCTGTAGTATCAAATATTTGTGTAAAAAACAAAAAAGTATATGTAGAGAAAATAGGAATGATTTTTTGAATGTAGGTTAAAGAGTATGAAGTGGCAATAAAACTAAAGAATGAGAATTTACGCTGATATTTATACATTGAAGAAAATGATTGTGATATAGATAAACAGAACATTAAAATATTACATAAAGAATTGGACAATTACTTATAGAAAATTTTGAAATTATAAAATATAAAAATAATATAAATTTAAATAATGGTATACCAGGGGTGTCCAATCTTTTTGTTTCTCTGGGCCACATTGGAAGAAGTCATAGGGTTTTGGGCCACAAGTATATACAAGTATATTTAAGAATTAATGTTTCTAGATTATAGTAATAAGTATTAAAACTTCATTACAAATAAGGATATTTTAAAAAATTACTTCTACAGACACTTTAAATTTTTACTTAGAAATAGATAAATTCATTTACTATAAAGGAGACAAACAAAACTTTATTGGAAAAACACAAATATTTGTTTTATTTGTGTCTCTAATTAGAGAAATTATGTATAAAGCTTTGTGAAACTTCTTTTTTGAGTTAATGCCATTAAAATATATAAATAAAAAATAAATAAATAAATTTGTTAATTTTGTTTACACGTTTATTGGGCTGCATGCGGCCCATGGGTTGGACACACCTAGTTTGTAAAGGAGTCAATGTCCGATCGTTATTTTATGTTTTGGGGCATTATTTTTATTTAATTATTTTCTTTTTGGGGTTCTTTTTTTTTTTGTTAAGGACAAATTCCTAAGCACCAGTGACCATGAAAGAAAAAGCAAACTTAGTTTGCATCGGTGCCTGATCCTGGAACGACATCTTATGTAAATTAAGACAGTGCGGAGCTGCACTCGAAATAGAATAAAAAGTGGCACTCCACGACGGAGAAGGTAGCTTTCAGGTGACAACTGTGGTAGAAACGTCTGTGATCAATTAGAGGAAACCGTATCTTTTTGCTGTAGAATCCATTTGAGGTGGAGATAAAAGCTTTGTTGAGTTGGATATAAGTATTATTGTCTTTGATTATTGATTTTTGTTGCTACTTTTCTAGTGTTCAATTATATAACTTACTGTTGGGACAATTAACCCATTATTGTTTTGTTGTCAAGATAATAAACCTTATATTTATTGTGAATTATTATATGTGGTTGTGAAAATTATTGGTTTTATTATTTTGGAAAGTCCAGGCCTGGTACTTGAACCCTACTATTATGTAACCCCTTTTGGTTTTCGTAAACGGTGCGTTACAAGTTTATACATAAAATGATGTCTGACTGGCCTTTTATAATGCACATCTCTTACATAGCACAGCTGTTCCTGCACAGCTCAAGTAATTTAAAAACCTTGAAATTTACAAAGCAACTAAGAAAGGTTTCACTGTTAATTTTAAGGACACATATTCAGTATCACATGCATGGAAAGCTATGAACATTTGTAATCTTACTTATATTTCTAGGTATTTGATTTTTTTTTATATCTGCTATTTTTATTTGTAGTTATACCTAATATATGTACTTTATTTAATCCATTATATTGATTTAAATTTTATTTTAATTTCATTTTATTTTTCTTCAACATTCTTTTAAGCATGAGACCACCAGCACAAATTTAACAAGTTCTATTTTATTTAAATTTTGTTCTTTGTATTATTTCATAACTTGAAGATGGCTGTTAAAAATATTTGTTATTATAATAAATTTATTCATTTTAACTGGATTATAGGTGTTAGTTAATGCTTTTATTGTAATCTCATCCAGTTTTGCAACATCTTTTAATTTCAAAAAAATAAATAAATAAATAAACAAAACTTATTACTAAACTAAAGTATAATCAAATATTTAACAAAAACTGTATACAACAGTTGGTAGTACAGTTCATTACAATTTTGCAATGTTTTTAGTTTAATTTGTCTGAAAAGTTTAAAAATTAGTCAATTAATATCTTATCTAACTTTCAATTTAAACTTAAAGACAGGCAAAGAAATGATTATAATATATAGAAATTATTTATTTAAGAAACTTTTAGAAAATATACCTTCTCCTCTGGGTGGAGGAGGAAATGCAATTCTTTCTGGTTTTGGTATTTTATCTAAAGGGGTTGGATCTAACCATTCTGGACGAGGAATATTTGGAGTACCAAGACGATGAGAAACATCAACAACCAGTCCTCGTTCACGTGGTTTAGGTTTTGGCATTACTGCAGTTTCTGTTAATTTTGTCTGACCTTAAAAATTAATAAAAATATTTTAAAGATATAATTCTATGTAATTTCAATTACAGTTAAACATTCAATACTTACATTCCTGTTTAATGGCTATAACATTAATTGACTGAAAAGGATTTCGAGCTGCATGTCTTGGACGAAGAATATGAGTACATAGTCTTCTTGCTATTCGTGTTAAAGGAGTAGTATGTAAATAAAAGGCTGCTCGAGTTTTCATGGTTGGTCTGGGACTACCTGAACGTAATGCGAGTCCATGTGCAGTAGCACAATGACGTGCTAAATGAGCTTTTAACTTAAATTCCTATATAAGAATTGAATTTCATAAATTAATAAATTTAAATTAGTTCATTTAAAATAAATATATTTTGCAATATAAAATATTAGAGAGACTGTCATATTTTAATCACATGTTCTTTGTATACATATATATACTCACGTGTATATATATATATATAATACAATATACAATACCATATTGGCCCAATGTTTTATTAGTAAATGTTTTTCTCAGTCTTAAAATGGAGAATCACTCAACCTACATTCAAGTCTGATTAAAGTTTTCTTTGATTTCAACAACTGCCTGATACCCATCTTACAGAGTTAAACTGATGCTAATATTCAGTGTGTCATTGAAAAACAATGACACACTGAATGCAAAGTTGTGATCTGTCATGGATGCAGCCTACAAACTATGCATGGAAATTAAGTGATTGTTATGTTTAAGGTATATTATTATTATTATTGTGTTGGGTTTAGTGGGTAATACTCAGTTTAAACCGGTGGCTGTGTACTATGCCGGACCAGAGTCAAGGCATAGTAACCAAAACAAAACTAAAATTAAATAAGTGTGTCAGTGTCTGTATTCAGGAATTTCCTAACAATGTGGCATGTATTCAATATAGTGGCCTTCTGTAGTGTTATGTATGTATTTCTACTCAATTCTAATGTTCCCAGGCTTTTGTGTAGTGTGTGTGGTATCACACCTGTACAGGAAAGAACAACAGGTACAATAACTACCCTATCCATCCTCCATAGATGCCTTATTTCCTGGGCAAGTTCTGTGTACTTGCTAATTTTTTCAGTGCATGTGTTTTGTACATTGTGAGTGTTTGGAATGGCTATGTCTATAATGTATGTGATTTTATTGTGTTTGTCAATGAGTGTGATGTCTGGTCTGTTGTGGTAAATTGTTTTATCTGTGATTATGGCTCTGTCGTAATACATTTTGTGCGTGTTATTTTCCAATACTGTCTGTGGAATATACTTGTAGTATGGTTCGTGGATGTCTGCCAATTTGTGTTTCTTTGCAAGCTCTTGGTGTATTATATTTGCTACTTGATTGTGTCTATGTAAGTAATCTGTCTGTGCCAAGAGCTTGCAACCAGAAGTGATGTGTTGTATAGTTTCTGGCATGATGTGACATTTTCTGCATGTGTCATTTGTGAGTGTTGTATCTTTGAGTATGTGTTTTCTGTAGTTTTTAGTATTTATGACCTGATCCTGTATGGCAATCATGAATCCTTCCGTCTCCCCAAAGAGGCATCCCCGATCTAACCAGCTGTTTGACGCAGTTTTGTCAACAAAATCCTGGGCCAGGTCGTAAGGATGCCTGCCATGGAGAGCCTTTTGAGCCCATGATTGCTTAATGTTGTCTATGCTTTTTATATGTTGTGTCATGTCTGTATGTTGTGAGTGTAAGTTTAATGGTGTGTTATTTGAGTCTGCTAGAGTTACTGCTTTATGTAACTGTGATGTTTCTTGTTTCTTGTAGAAAAACTCTCGCAGTGACTGTATTTGTTTGTAGTGAAGGTTAACTATGTCAATCAGGCCACGTCCGCCTTCTTTACGTGGAAGGGTTAATCTTTCTGTGGCGGATTTAGGATGATGTTGTTTATGCTTAGTAAGTGTTGTTCTTGTTTTCCTTTGGAGTTGCTCGAGATCTGTGTGAGTCCAATGTATAACTCCAAAAGAGTATGTGAGTACTGGGATGACATATGTGTTTATTGCTTTAACTGTGTGTTTTGCATTTAACTGTGTTCTAAGTATAGCGTTTAACCTACTTTGGTATTCTTTAATTAATCGTTGCTTTATTTGTGTATGTTCTGTTAGTTTGGCCTGTTGGAATCCTAAGTACTTGTAGAACTCGCCCTCTTCCATGGATTCAATAACGTCTCCATTTCCAAGTGCAAAATCTTCTTTCTTCAGGATTCCTTTTTCTATGTGAAGTGTTTTGCATTTGTCTAAGCCAAACTCCATTTGTATGTCCTTAGTGTATGAATGTGTGATTTGTAGGAGTTGATGAAGTTGTTTTTGTGTGGATGCATAAAGTTTTATGTCGTCCATGTACATGAGATGTGAGAGTGTAAACTGTGTTGTTTTTTCGTGTCTGATATTGTAGCCGTATTGCGTGTTGTTTAACATGTTGGATAATGGATTCAGGGCTAGGCAGAACCAGAGAGGACTCAAGGAATCTCCTTGAAAAATTTCTCGCCTAATGAATGTTTCGTTTGTTTGTATGGAAGTGTTACTAACCCTGAGATGTAGTGTTGTTCTCCAGTGCTGCATAGTGTTTTTGAAGAATGCAATGAGTGATGAATGTATTTAAAGAATGCAATGAGTGATGGATGTATTTTATTATTATTATTATTATTATTAATTTGTTTTACTTAATTTTAAATTACAAAGTTTACTTTGTAATCTCTATATTTTTATTTTATATATAGATTAAATAATTGTAAATAATATACAAAGCTAATATCATTTACAAAGAATCATACATCATAAAAAACACAGACTGTTGCAAAGTAACAATATATGTAGTCAGAGAAAGCCTCTAATATCTTATTAAAATGTGAACATTTTAATAAAAATAAAATAATTTATCTCATCATGAATTATTACATACCTTACCACAACCAGTAATTGAACATCTGTAGGGTCTATGAGCAGCCATATGAGCTGCAATCCTCTCTGAAAATGATCCTGACATCAAATCTACAGTTTCTGCAAAAAAATAAATAAATAAATAATTTTGTAAGATCCTATATTAGCAATATTTATTTTAGTCAGAACATATTTATAATTACCATGCTATGTGATTAAAGTAACAAAAGTTCATAAAGTTTAAAAATAAATATGTCTAATAATATAATATGCATCTGTGGTTCTATACATGCAATGGTAAACTGTAATCCATAGGTCAAGCACTGACCACTGAGCTGCATGACAACTTTAAGGTATCTGCAAAGAGTGTCTAAAGTATTAATTTTTTTATAATTTATAAAAAGCTATGTGATATGTAGTGTGAAATTGGGATCCTAAAGCTGTCATGAGATGTTTTAAAGGCTACAAATTATGAACCTCAGATAGAAAATTATCATAAAATAAACAAAAGTATATTTTCTATCAAATGAAATACTCGTTTCCATTACAATCACATTGTTATTTTCTTTTTATTTATAGATTAAAAATACATTTTATTATTACTACATTATTGTGTAAGTTTAAACTTGGCAATAACTGGAAGTACTTAAACAAGAACATATATATATTTACTGTACATACACCATAACCATCAATATATTTAGTAAAATAAACAGACATCTTCAGGTTACATAAGTTTAATGCAGAACTGAATATTAAATCAAACAACGAAACAAGGTTCATATTGTGCATTTATTGTATATTCATAAAAACTTGATAAATAAATCAACCATCAACTCAATATTAAAATCTTTTACTTCAAGTAAAACATTATTACATATAAAAACACTCACCTAAGCGTGTTGGATACATAAAACCACCATATTTTTTCCAATATAGCCAGCAGGAATGGCACAATCTACATTGAGTATGAGCAGGTCCCCAAGCATACCATTGGCTAGCAGTCAATGCTGTAAAAACAATAAATTTTAAGATTTGCATTTTATGAATGATTCAAAAAAATGATTTCTTATTTAAATGAAAATTTTTGAGGTTATTTCAAAGACAAGACTTTAACTTGTCCAGTGTTATTCCCGACAAATCTCAAATCGTGACCTGCTGACCTTGACTAATTGACCCAAGATATCTCGTTTCAGCATCGGAAAGTTTTTTGAAACTAAATGTCGCTTCTCATTATAATTTTTATATTAAAACTAGCTTCTGAAATATAATTTTTTTAATTTTTACATTTATTAATATATTTATTTTGTTTGTGCAAAATAAAAAAATAATTTTGGACGATACAATACCCACAATTATTTTTTTCAAAAATGTGTAATTTTCATTAGGTTTTACATCGACAAAAATTCAATATGGTGCCACATTCAACGGAAAAAATGTCAATATCAGATAGGTTAAAATATAACAATAAAAATGCTAAATATAATGATCACAATTTCTAACTTATAAATTTGCCATGTCAAACTTCTATATTTTAAAGTTATTTTTCAATCTATTTGATGAAACAAAGCAATAGTTTTATTTTAAAAATTCTTGTTGAACTTTTACTTAACTAAAAGCTAAACAACAGTTTATTTTAATGTGTTATTTTGTGCATATCAGTGTTAACTGAAAAGTTCCAGTTTATTAACTAACTTTATGTGTTATTTATTTTTTTATTAAAATAAGTACACATTATTCTTGTTAAATATTTACATGAAAGAAAATATTTAGTTTTATTATTTTGGAAAATTCTAAATATTCCTTTTAGACAATCATTATATTCACAATAACAAATACAACTTAAGGCTGCAGAGTAAAAGTATCATTGTACTGAATTCAACTGTTTAAATTCAATATAATTTCTTAACTTGAATAATTTGTAACGAGGTAAAAATTATAAATAGTATTATTATTATTACAAAAATATGCACACTTCAGTAATTAATATAAAAATCAAATTATTCATTTACTTCATGTATTTTTTAACTTTTAAACAACTAAACTATTGTCAGAAATATAGAATCTGAATATATACATGTTTTAAAAATTTAATTTAAAATGGTTCAAACATATTCAAAAGTAGAGTATAATTTTAAAATTATAACGAGCAATTTATTGTGACACCGTCAACATGCTGGGCTGCAATTTTTAATCATATTTTTAATTTATTTAATTTAAAATGTATGCTCTCCACCTCAAATTAACCTTTTAGCAGTGGGATAGTCAGGTATGGTGCTATCCCAAAGTAGTGGAGAATATACCTGGAAAATTTTTAAAGTATTTCTTCATGCATTTTTTTCTCATTACCATTTCGGAAAAATATATTATTTTGTAAACAGTTATGTCTAGTAAAGAAAAGTCTTTTTTTATTGTTACATAATTCATTTTTTATGTGAATTTGTTTTCACGGTAGTTTTTGGCAATACCCACCCCCAAAAGAATTTGATGTATACAGTGGTGCCTCGTATAACGTACGCCTTGAATAACGGACTTTCTGTTTGACCGTTACGTGACTCGAGCAACGGACTTGCTGCGAACAACGGACTTTCCGTTCGGCAGTTACGTGAGACGAACAATGGACTTTCTTCGAACAAGTGCGAATGATGTTTCCACTCTTTTGCCGTTGCCAATGACAATCTGCTATTTTTAGCATATATTAGTATTATTAGAATGTATTATTAGTATATCTGAAGTAGAAATGTAATGTAATATATGTTGACGATTCAAATAAACGAAATGTAATTGTGTAGATGCCGAGGTGGCGGGACGAAAAGAGGTTGTAAAAGACAAACGGAGCGAGAGCAGCTCGTAGAAGTGTTTAGTGATCTTAATTAATATAGAATTATTCGTATCATATAATCTGGCAAGTTAAGTCATTTATAATGCATCATGGCTTCTAAAAAAACAGAAAGGTGATTTCAATTGAAACAAAGCAAGAAATCATCAGGAGTGAAAGTTGACAAAAACTTTCTTGTCGAATGGGGAGAGGTTCAGGAGTTTACCAACACTCATTATCCAAACAGAGCTGAGGCCAACAGGATCAATGATCTCTACGATGACATCTTTGTCCGTCATTTCCGACAGGTGTTAAAGAAGAAAGAGAAACAGACCACCTTGGTCATGTTTTTCAAGAAGCCAGCGGGCAAAAAACAAAGGATGGAACAAGAGAAGTTGACCCTGCAAGTTCCGGTAGCCTCTCCTGAATCTGACTCCGATTAAAAAACAATAAAAAAAAAGACCCGCTGCAATGTGTAAAAAGTCTGTATCTGTATGAATGTGTAAAGAAAGTGTTCTTCCACCTCCTCCTCACAACATCTGACTACCGGGCATAATTGGTGACTGCGCCATTTTCATTTTTTTATGGTACAGTACGGTTATTTTATGCTGTGGAATGAATTATATGTTTTAACATGTATTTCTATGGGAAAATGCGTTTCGTATAACGGACGTTTCACTTAACGGACGTGCACCTGGAACGGATTAAGTACGTTGTACGAGGCACCACTGTATATGCGTCCCTCACCACTGCCACACAATCGCCCCAGATATATAGATATATATACATCCCTCACTGCTGAGTGGTTAATAGTAGCTTGTCCCTGTACATCATACTTTTCCTTTAACAATAGAGTCATGCCAGTCATCCATATAACACCTTTCACAGGGAAATTTTTGAATTGATATAACTGATTTCCAGTTTGAATCAAAAGTTTGTGTATAGTTTAATAGTTTATTGGGAACTCCTGCCCCTAAGGTCTCCATATCTGGTCTCATCTTTCATCTGTCTAAGTCTGTTCTCAAGATTAAGAAAAGATAGAAACACAGACGGACAACAGTGGAAATTTATAGGTCTACAATTTTTTTTCAAATTGCAGCCCAATTATTTTTCTATGTAAGTGAAATATGATTGTTATTCTTATATAATATAATAACAGAGTAAATTTACTTAGATGTAAGTGTAAATTTTTACAACAAATTTTAATGTAATGTTAGAAGTAAATAAATCTAAAAATATATAATACATAATCATTTAATAAAGTTTATATTATTTTAAAATAAATATATATACTTACTGTAACAACTTTCACATGGACGACCAGCAGCTGAGGGACTATCACCAGCACTACTCCCATTCAAAATTCCTGGTTTATTATTGCTATAAAATTTGAAAATATTCCATTATTTAAATAAATACATTAAGACAGTGATGGGCAAACTTTTTAAAGAGCGGGCCAAAGGAAAAGAAGAAAACTTTAGGCGGGCCAATATAATTGTAACCTAGCGCTGCATCTGAAAATCCAGGTGGCGCTATAAAAACATGTGCAGGCCGTCCGCCATATTTCTTTTTCTCTCTTTCGGCTACGTGTAAAACAAAATTTTGTACATGATTGTAAATAAACTTTCATGGTGAGATATAAAGCTTCGGTTATTTTATATAATCAACGAACACTCAAATTAAGTGGTGCTTCAACCACCCCAGCCTGTATTCTTTTTTACTCGTCAGATTAGGAATAATGTCGCGCGGGCCGGATAGAACATTTCAGGGGGCCGCATCTGGCCCGCGGGCCGTAGTTTGCCCATCACTGCATTAAGAAGTTTAATCTTTAACTAGCTTAAATTCTAAACATTTTGACCTTTTCAAATTGTTCTTGTTATTAAGATTAATCCATACATTACACATTCTACAAATACATCATAAATAATTTTCTTCAATAATGTATTAAATATAAAAGAGATTAAAGGCTAATTAAACTAAGATTAATCCAATTATAATTTCTTGCTAAATCTAAGCAAATAAATTGTAGATTAATTTATACAAAATAAAAATAGGCAATAATACATTAGTTTACTAAAAAATCAATAATTTTCCAATACAGGTATAACTCGCCTTATGTCAGTTATTGGTTCCAGGAGAGGCGACTTAAGTCGAAAAATGACGTAAGTTGAATTTACTTGTCACTAGGCTAAACCACAAATAACCATTCCCAGTTCTGTATTTTATTTATACAGTAAATGCATTTTTAATAATATATGGTTAATAAGAATCTGTTTTAAGCTTACAAACAAATAAATTTTAGTTTTTAATACAGTACAGAAAAAAAAATAATCTAAATTTACAAATACATGTACATATGTACATACTTGTAAATGTACTGTACTGTACATGTTTACAATTTGGCAATGTTTACAGTGCATCGCAGACTCTATTTGTAAATGTGGTTTGCTCTAAGACATTATAAAATAAAATGATTCTGTAAGGTTAAATAACAAATACAGTTATTAAAATTATTTTGCGATAGTAGAAAAACTAATTTATGTTAAATTTACCAATATTGAGTGGCACTGATAATGACGCAAAACAGTGGATATTGAAACTACCATAGAAAATTCCAATATTGAGCTCTTAAAGATTGCTAAATAAGACGAAAACACATAGTTACAGATGTTTTCGTATTTCGTTCTTTATGATTTATGATGATTATATTAACGTTTACTGTAAACGTATGTATTTTAATATGATTTTATGTGTTTTTAACACTTTTCTAGTGATATTACGACTTCAATATTTGTGGTGGGCAGACATAAAGTCGAATAAAATGACTTAAACCTAACTTTTATTTTTCCATATATTTTTTTGGACAAACGACGTATAATCGAGAATGATGTAACTCGAGATATACCTTTATAGCCATCTATAACAGATAATGATCCTAAAAGAAATTTTCACAACCAAAATACATTTTACAATATAAATTTTTGAAGTAAAATTTGATTTTTTTTTGTCTAATATTTTTACATAAAGAAAAAAAAGTATTAAAAACTTAACTTGTATTAAAAACTTACTAATTAGGAATGTAGACCTGCTTTAATTTGCTCTCAGCTTCTACAGCTTTTACTCTCTTTTGTTGAACATAACGGTCTGTAGTTTTCCACATATAATAGTATTCAATAATATTGTTAAGGCTTTTCCAAGGAAGCTAAAATAAAATGTCAAATAATTCAGAAATCAACAAATGCAATTCAAAAACTTAAATATTTATTCAATTTTTAAAATAGTCTTTTTATATTTTATATTAAAGAATTTTATGATAATTTAATAATTATAAAAAAGTTTTTTCATGCCATTTATCTTATCAATATCCATCATCTAAAGCAATGGTCATCAACCTTTATGCCCTCACTAAACTCACAATTTTGAATCCCACAGACCACTATCATAAATTTTTTAAATGATACAAACATCTATAGCAGGGGTTGCCAAAGTGGTCTATATCAACCTCCAGGGGTCAATATAACATTATTGGGAGGGGGGTCGATGAAAAGTCTAAAACTTACAAATTTTGAACCGAATATTGCCAATCTTGCTAAGGATTATCAAGCTTATCCGTCTCATTGATTGTCAGTTACAAAAATTATTATTAACATATGTACAATAAATGTAAAAAATGTAAAATTAAAAGATATATATTAAAATAGTAAGATCTTTTTTTTTTGCCTGTAACAAACTTTTTGGTGGGTGTTGATGTGAGGTTTCGAAAAGTTGTAGGGGTCAGCGATCAAAAAAGTTTGGCGACCCCTGATCTATAGAATAATGATCATAATAGTTCCATTTTACTTTATTAATATGAAACTCATATTAATAAAGTAAAAGGTCTCTAAACAAAGATCTAGTAAATTCATAAAGTTCACGTACAACAAAAATGTAAGAAGTGTTATGAAGGAGGTTGCAGACATAAAAAATGAAATTCATATTTTTAATTATAACAAGTTAGTGTGAAGTTTGTTGCTACTTGTTTGAAATAAGTTTATGGATGCTTGGCTGTTTTCAATGAAGGATGACAATCACACTCACAACATTATTTATAGTTATTTATTAGTTTATTGACATTATTATTTATTGATAACAGTCATTTCATGTTTGGTTTTAGAATTGAATAAAAAAAACTCCAATGAGTGAGAAAAAGCAACCAAACATTTTTCATTTCTTACATAATATTTGAGTTCATCAATGTCCAAATTTCTCCACAAATCCCTGGTTGGCAATTGCAGATCTAGAGCAGTAGTTCTCAAAGTATAGTTTATGATTCAGTCTATGGACCTAGTCATTTTTCTAAAATGCAATTTTATTTAGCCAGAAAAAAACACTTTTAAGCACAAGCTTTATCTTTTACATTAGGTTACTAAATATCCAAAATTTTTTGCATTCATCTAAGATGATGTTTTAGAATAGAAAATAGTCCACCACATTTGTTTAAGTGGTTATTAGAATGTATAAATTTGAGAACTATTGAACCAGAGAAGAACATTAATATCTTCTTATATTTCATAAGTATGCATATATAAGAAAAACTAAGTATTATTTTTATGATTAATTCCTTATAACAAAATACTATACTAAGTATTAACTGAACACTTAATTTTTGAAAGGGGAATCACAAATCACATTTAGTTCAAAAGCCATTAATAAATTTTAAAGTAAAAGAAAGAAACAAAATGATAAAATTTAATGAATAAATTACATTATCAAAAATTTCAGACTATTTTTAAATACATTCAAAAATTATTATTAAAAATTATATTGTAATAACTCTAAAACTGAATTGAAGTAAATGGTAATATCTAATTTATTAAAGTTTGGATTTTCAAAACATTATTTTAATATATATTCTTAATAATACAAAATGCTTAATTTTTAAATTCATTAAAAATAAATCAGTGTTAATTTTCTAAATAAATGTTTAGAAAATATTTTATAGATATCTGCCTGTATTTAACATAGTTTTATTTAATCTAAAAAAAGCTTTTAATATACTACAAAAATAAAAAGTTTTATCTTTTAAAAATATAGTTACTAACAGAATAAGACATCTAATCTCTAGTTTTTCTAATAAATTTCAAAAATTCAATATTCCCATAAGTTTAAATCCTAAGACTTAAAACAAAAATATGTCTCCAAAAAACTGAAATGTAATTTGAATTATTTTCAAATTACATTGTATGTAAAATTCAAAAGATAGAAATATATATTGTATTTTCTTGATTCTAATGCATATCATTTTTTGGATTCAGAAATTAATGTGTTTGTTAGAATTAGTCACAAGTATCGACTTATGCAGTATCATTTCACATCTTTTGTGCTTCACTCCACTTGGATATTCGCATATATTACATCATCAGTATAGATATGGTAAATCTCATTAATCTCATTACAGCTGTCCCTTGATAGTCCGACGTTTTGTAATCCGACATGCTCAGTAGTCCGATGCACCTCCCGTCAAGGTACCCGTCCCCGTTACGTGTCTGTTGCACAGAAGCATGTCGCGACGTGAATCTCCCCACCCAATTCTTACACGATGACACACATTTCGTGTGTTTTCCGTGAGCAGTTCTGTTCGAACAGTTGGAGTAGGGAATATTGTAGGCTACTGCTAGCAAAAAACGCCAAATATGTAATCACTTTTGGTAATCCAGACACTTTTAGTAATCCGACACCCCTTTGGTCCCATACCTGTCCGATTATCAAGGGACAGCTGTACTTTAGTTTTAATTTTGGAATGGCTTGGTGGTCTTTTGAACTGCAGCAAGCTAAGTAAACAATATCCAGCAGACAAATCTCATAAAGCTGTGTTTAAGCAGAGAGTTACCCACTATGATAAAGAACATTTATATGGTTATTTCAGTATGATACAACCTATCTGGTAAATATCATACTTGTGCATACTGATATGAAATTTCAATGTTAAAATGTTGATCATATGATAATTTTGAAGGATTTTCTATTGGTTTGCAGATCTTCTGTATCTGATAATACTGTAGAGTCATAAATGAATACATTCAAAAATATGGGCATTATAAAGCAATGTAAGAAAATGCTTTTCAAAAGATATTTGTTACTGTTTAAATGTATTAAATTTCTGTGGTTGCATTTTTCATATAGAGTGTGCATTACATTTTTGTAAGCTAACTTTTTTGGAAGGTTGTGACATCTCAAGAATCAAGAATTTGATGGAACATTCTTCTTCTTCTTTTGTCCCTAGCTGGCATTTGGTTGCGGGTGTCTGCGCAACCAGTATGCTGCTGTGGGTGCCGCAGGAAGTCGAGCTTTCTCCACAATGCCCCTCCAATGCCCTCGATCCATGGCCGCCGCTTTTGCCTGGTTCAGATCAAGCCGTTGGTTCTTGAGGTCCTCCTCAACGTGTTTGGTCCATGTTTTCTTAGGTGCGGAGTGTTGGATTTTCCACAGAGTAGGTCGCTGTCGGAAGAGCAGTTGGTGGGGAATCCGGTTAAAATCCATTCGGCACACATGGCCAAACCATCTCAGCCGTCGCTGTTGAATTTGTGTCTTAACAGATGGCTGTTGTCGGCATCTGGCCCGGATGGCATTGTTGGTGATGCGATCCCAAAGGGAGATACCAAGAATCTGTCTCAAGCATTTCAATTGAAAGGTCTCAAGTTTGTCCAAGTCTGTCTTAAGCAAGGTCCAAGTTTCTGACCCATAGAGAAGGATTGGTATGACTAGTGTACGGAACAGGCGGATCTTGGTCATCAAAGAAATGTTCTTCTTTCTCCATACACACCATTTGAGTGAGGCAAATGCATGGGCTGCCTGTCCAATACGGGCATGAGTTTCTTTTGACGATGCCACTTTCTTCTCCTGGATCAGTGACCCAAGGTATTTAAACTCTTGTACCTGCTCAATTTGGACTCCATTAAGGTAAACAGTTGCCCGCGATCCATCCGTTGTAAGCACTTTGGTTTTGTCCACATTTATTTTAAGACCATATGACTGAGCGATAGTGGCTATATCATAAAGCGTATCTGTGGCCACTACATCGTTGTCAGCGAAGACGGCACTGTCGTCGGCAAACATTAGATCAGTTAGAAAGTGGCCATCCCCAAACTGGACACCACATTTCCCATCAAATGTCTTCCTCATAATTGAATCCACCACAATATTAAACAATAGTGGAGAGACCACGTCTCCCTGGCGAACTCCTGTCTGGATGGTAAACTCCTCAGATAGTTCCCCCCGGATTCGCAGTTGACTGGTGGAATCTTTGTAGGCTTCCTTGAGTAGTGTGATAACTTTTTGTGGGACATGCTCATTCTCAAGTGCTCTCCATAGCGCAGGCCTGTGCACACAGTCGAATGCAGATTTGAAATCGATGAACAGGACAATGGTCCGTTTGCCGCATCTGGTCCTTTCCTCAATAAGCTGACGCAGGGCAAAGATTTGATCACAGCAACCACGACCAGGACGAAACCCTGCCTGTTCTTCTCGGCTGGTTTCTTCACGGTGTTTTTGTAACCTTGATTGGATTATCTTCATAAATACTTTGCCAACGATGGAAACGAGACTGATACCGCGATAATTACTGCAATCCCGGCTATCGCCTTTCTTGTGGATTGGCACGATGATAGCTTTCTTCCATATGGCTGGTATTTGTTCTGTGTGCCATATTGTTTTAATGAGTAGATAAAGACGATGGTGCAGGATGTCACCACCAGCCTTGATCACTTCTGTAGTGATCAGATGGAACATTAGAATCAAGAAAACACAGTATACTTTTTAATTTTGTTGTTGTTAAACTGTTCTACATATTGCAGGATAAGCACTTAAAACAACGATACTAAAATATTTTGTAATACTTTAACTTAACATTTTGATTATAAAAACAAGATAAATATGTATTAATATTTTTTTTTTATTATGATAAAATTTTTGCAATTGCATCGTAAAAATTATAGTATTTTATTCACAAAAAACAATCTAATTTAAATTGAAATTAAAAATGGTAAGGAGATCAAAACGAAAGAATATCAACATATACAAGACGATAATACTAATTTGGATAAACAATTCATTAAATGGAAAAAGAAAAGATCTGTTTTTCTGAGGTAACATCATGATTGCACACAGCTAATGTTATCAAACCATTCAATACCAGTACAATCAGATTCTGTTGTAACATTCATTGAATATTTGGCAAACTGTCATTTGCAATTATATTGAATAATCTAACTAAGCAATAATGGTTTTCACAGACAAGATAATCTAAAAATATAATCCAATTACTTTAAAATTAAAATTTTATATCACCATAATTGGATATTTGATTATCATTTTACAATTCTTGTTTGAAAATAAATAATACTTACAAAATCTTGCCGAATATCATTAAAATCTTTCCCATACTTTTCAAGAGCTTCTTCAAATAAACTAGCTTCAGATGCAGACCATTCTTCCATTTCATCACGACACAAAACTGGACCACCAGCAGGGACTAGGCTGGAGATTGCACTTGTTACATCATAATTATGTTTATGAAGTACATCCATAGCATGGAACTGTAAATATTATAAATATAAAATAATTAACTTGAAATTCATGAATCAAATAAAACAAATAATAATAAATGCACAGTTTTAATCCAGAATATCAGTAAAAAGCTACATGAAATAAGTTCATTGGTTTTGAATGTTTATATGAAACACACATATGGTTGGAACAGAAACAAAATGATTTTGGTGTCTGTTGATCTAGTTCATTTACCCAAGACAGTTTGAACTCTGTAGAAAGTTCCTTGAAAAACTATAGCAAGCAGCTAATTAAGCCAATGCTACAATGGCATAATCCATTTCATATATAACAGATCATACCATTAGTTTGCTTATTTATCTGCTTACCATCAAGTGAAAAACAATCAAGGTCACCAAGTTGGCTATTGAAAAATTAAAAACACTACTTTCATAACTTAGCTAGTTGCTATTTTTTGGACTATATGAATTTATATTTGGCAGATTAAAAAATATGGACATTATATGGGCTAATAAAATTCTCCTTTGTTTATCATCCTTTATTTAAAAATTTGAACCTAACTACATTACACCTTGTGATAGGTGGTCTCTCCTTGTGTTTGTTCAACATTACCTCTGATGTATTGCTTCAAATATTGGTAAATTTTATTAAATAAACACATCCTTAGCATACCCAAGAAGAAGTAATCAAGGAAATTAAGATTAGGAGGGCATGTGCCATATCTCCCAATCTATATAGCAATGCTATAAAATACAACCTTGAAAACTCCACTGTTGCTAAACACTGAGCATTCCATAATTATAATATTAATAAAGATTCGTTAAAAATATTAAAAACCACAACAAATACTACTAAACACAAATTACATGAACATTTAGAAATTATCAAAATCCATGATAATGTAAGAATAAATGAAAACACGGGTACAACTAGATCCCATCTGGCACCCTTACTTAATAATCTGAAACTTATTAGACAGCAACTAATACTTATATCACCAAAACCAGATACCACTCTATAGTAGCATTGCTTCTGTACTAGAGGACATTGTTTGTATGAGCTGACCCTCTGCAAAAATGTACGTAACCTTTCTTAAAACAGCTCTTACTTTTGTAGCTGTAATCTTGTTTATAACTTTGTATTACATTTTTTTACCATAGTATTTACTTTACAATTAATTTTATTAAGCAACAGTTTTAATCTCTGGTTGCTATTTGTATGGAAAACATAATATAATGTCTGTGAAAAGTCCTGAAAATAAAGTCATCCACACATCAGCAACAAAATAGAATGTACCTTTTAAGTATGCATAAAAATGTAATTTTGAACTATTTTAATCATAAACCGAAATGTCTGAAATGAAAAACCGTTTGTATTTTTGTAGACACCTGTATACCCACCAAATTGTAATAAATATGGCTGAAGAGAGACAGACAACCTGTCCAAAATTCATAATGTCATTGTAATAATCCTGTGTCTATCCACTTCTGTGTGATTACTCTGACAACACCAAAGTGTGTCAGAGTATGTGTCAGAGATGTGATAAGTTCTCCATTCAGCATCTTAGTTAGATATTACAGCACTAGGCTGTAATAACTGTTTCTTAGATCTTAACATCTAGAGTACAATGATGATTTTAATCATGTAACATTTTAGTTGATAAAAAGGAATACATTTATTTGAATGCAAGTTTTTGAGCAATGACCACTTTTTACTCATAACAACTAAAAAATTATAGCATACTCTAACTTTCAGGCAATGAAACATTCTTTTAAAAACAGAAAAAAAGGAATTTATCATAAGTTTCAATTAAAATGTAATCAAATATTTAGATAATTACTTACAAGTGTAATGTCTCTTGATGCAGCAGCTGCACTCATATGTAAACTTGGCTGTTTCACAGAACTAGAACAGTCTAATGCCCGAGCAAAAGTTCCTACTGACCTTTAAAAAGGAAAAGGTAATTGTTATTTTTTTTATTGCAATTTTATCTATATTTAAAATTCAAAATAATTATAAAATAATAAACAACAATGTTCATATAGCCATTAATGGAAATGAGTAATATACTCTTATTCTTAAAAGATTTTAAGTCATTAAAATATTAACTATTTTATAATAAAAATGGAGTATAAAAAATGTACTGATACAAAAGTAACAAACATTCTGTTTTAATTTCAAGTATTTATCTCTACCATTTAAATGTTAGCATATTTAATCAACTAGTGTAACATAACAGGATGGTTGAGATAATGAAGACATTAGCCTAATGCTCTGGGAACTCAAGACAGAATCTAGAAGAGCAACTCCACAGAGATTTTTCATGGACAGCCTGTCCCAGATATGTATCCTTAGATATGGGTCCTATCTAGGGTTTCTCATTTCCCGGTCTTTTGCTTGTCACGGGATTCTGGGATAAAAGTGAACTGTTTAACAGGATAGAATTAATTATTTTTAAGATATACAAAAAATCTTGAAATCAAATGATATAATTATTTTTCATTTTTTAAGTACTTTAATACGCTCTGCAACCTCCAAAATCATATTAATAATACTCTGTAAGATATATATATATAAAAATTACCTTTGAATTACGTAGAAATTTTCACAAATAGAAATTTATTAAAGTTTGCTGAAAACTGCATACAACAAAAACAACAATGCTTTGAATTGAGTTGAAAATTTAAAAAAATGAACTTAGATAAAACTTCTAACTTAAAAGGTAATTTTTGTTTTTAAATAAAACATAATACAAAATATTATTGTAAATTTTTATAATAAGATTTTAAAAAGCAAAGATGGTCAATACTCCACTCCAATCAGTCGATCCAATTCTTATTTAACTAATAAAAAGTCCTGCTATCAATAATGCCCTTTCCGATTCATGTGTGTGAAATCATCTTTAATTCATTTATGAGAGACGGATGTTATGTGTTTTTTCACCTGTAGCTTGGAAGATTTCTAGTTCGTTTTCGAGATTGTAGTACTTCTTTTGCTCTCTAGTATTCTTGATTTGTCTACTTTGACTGCTTTAATAAAAACATTAAGCTTATAGCCTGATAATTTGGCAGTTCATTTGTCTTTAATAATCAGGTTTATGAAGAAAAACTTCATACTTGTTTGTATTCTTGCCCAATTTGCACAACCTGGCGTTACACAGTTATTGAAGCTACCGGGCATGGTTAAAATTAAGACAGCATAAGCACAATTATTCCAGATATTACAGGTTCTGAAAAGTAAGGAATTTTCAGAGTCCTGCCACAAATAAGCTACATATTGATTATTGACCATTTGTGACATGCCATAACAAGCAAAAATTAAAAAAACTAATAAGTAGGTTTAAAATTAATAAATACAAATGTATTCTGACAGTTTATGAGTTAATTATACTTTCTATTTGCAAAATTTCCTCAATCTTAAAACAAAATAAGAAAAAAGTGAACTTTTAAGAAATTTGTGGGATTTCCAGGGATAAAAAACAACTGGGATCCCATTTGAGAAACCCTAGTCCCATCTCTTACCATCTAGCCACCCCTATTATGGGCCTCTCTAACTCAGGATGAATATTAAATAAGTCTTCTTATTTCCCACATAGCACAGAAAGTAAAACTATGAGGCTTTTTTCATTAGTCAATATAGTCATATTTTAATCAATATTTTGAATGAAAAAGTAGATATTTTGTAAGTTCAATAAGTTCATTCATAAAGATTTTAAACAGTGATAGAACACTGAATGAAACTAAAACTGAATTTTATAATTTTTCTAACAAATATATTGAAAACTGAGAAATAATTTCAATTATGACTTCACTTCACAGACCAAAAAAGGAGTTTCTAAATAAGTATAAGATTTCTATTTCTAACAAATTGTTTTGTCTAAGGCAGTTTCTTTTCCTCCCATTTTTTAATACACTCCAAAAATAACTTCTTTTTTGTTTCTTGAAAATATCTTATTATTATTAACAACGTAAATTCTACTTATATAAAAATTATTATTATTATTATTATTATTATACAGTATTTAGTGGGTTATACTCGGTTGATACTGGTGGCTGTGTACTATGCCGGACCAGAGTCAAGGCATAGCAACCAAAAACCAAAATTAAATAAGTGTGTCAGTGTCTGTATTCAGGAATTTCCTAACAATATGGCATGTATTCAATATAGTGGCCTACTAAAGTGTGATGCAAGTATTTCTATTCAATTGTAATGTTCCCAGGCTTTTGTGTAGTGTGTGTGGTATCATCATTATTATTCTTAATTTTTGTCTTCAGTGATCTCATAACTTCTCATTCTTCAAAAGCTACTACATAATCAATAGTCTCTGAGTAATATAGTAAAACCTGTCTAAGTGTGATGATACCAACTAGAATTTCTTATAAGTTTCTGTCTTATAAGGGGTTATTTTTTATGCAAAAAAAGAAAAAAGTAGAATAAGTGCTACAACTCATATTTAGAACTGTTTCTCTTCCCATCCAAACTTTTTGTTTCAAGTATACATTGAAGACAAATATGTAGTGGATAGAGGAAAAATCCATATAAGAATCCAGTAACCACAGAATGTGGAAATATCATTCATATAGTCAGCTCTTAATTCATTAAGAACTTGTATAGCTAATATGGAGAGTGAAAGTATTTCCTCTAGAAACATTTTGCCAAAATCCTTTCATAACTTTTATACATTGAATTAATTTTATTTTTAATAATTACTTTTTCAGATTTTAAGCTTGTGTAATTTCCCCATTAATAGCATATTTTTTTAAAATATTCATTACTTCTACAGAATGAGTGCATTCTTCTAGAGACATGAGATGAAACAGCTATATACTTTGTCATAAACAAAACCAATTATAATAAAGAAGAAAAAAAAAATCATCCTAAAGTCAACTGTAATCTGAGCCACAAATAGCATTAATCATAATTTTTAAAAATTAGTTGCAGTTTAGCAGAAAAATTCTGCTTTACAAGTTACATTATGCAACTAGTATCTAAAAAGACTTTCATTTCCATAATTGACAAGTTTCTGCTTATTAAAGTATTTTAGGTAGCAAGTCTTTCCATTCCAAGATATATTTTTTGTTCAGGTAAGTTCCTTTTTTTTTTTATAGTGTGTCAGATTTTACACTGTATGTATATATTTATTTATTTGTATATTTATTTAATCTTCCAGTTGCTTTAACAACAAAGAGAAATCAATATATTTCTTCTATAATGATTCTTCACTATTCTGTGCTTTCTGTTTAAAAGAAAAATCTTTTTTTATTTACCATATTTACTCACATATAAAATGAGGTTTTTATTAATTTATCACAGCTTCAAATTCCTAGGTTGTCCTATACATGTGAGTGAAAAATCCTTGTTGTTTTGTAAATAATTTTTGTGAACCATGTATTCGCATTTTTTACCAGATGCTTACCCTCTTGTATTTAAAAACATCAAGTATTTTATCTGGGTCGTTTGAATTGTTCTTGTATATTGTCAGGAGTAAAGATGAATAGCAATAGGAAAAAAAAACAAAGCTTTTGAATTGAATTCCAGATTGAAATTCCAAAATTGCACAGGAGCCCGATATAAGTTTTAATCCATTTCCACATGAAATCAGAATTCGGAGAAACTCATAAGTGTAATTGACAGAGAGTGAATTAGACTGTTAAGAACTGGCAAAAAAATTCCTGATTGTCCAGCTTTATGGGAAACAAACTATGTTGTCGATTTTACAAGACTTTTCCTTAAAGTTTAAAATGCCAGAAATTTTTGCAGGACAATGTGTGCATTTACGTTCATTTGATATTTTACTTGTGATTAAACAAAATAAAATTAGAATTGTATTAATATATCTAATTTTCTTTATTTTGATCTTTAAAGTCACATCTCGTCCTATATGCGAGTAAATATGGTATTCTTTTTCTTTGTTGCCATCTTTCTGTTTTAATTGATTCTTCTAAACTTTTAACTATTTTCTGTGTGTGTAGTATACACCACACATACACTATAATCTGTATTTTTAGCATATTTCAGTGACATTTTAAAATATTTTAATAACTTATTTCTATAAAACTTTCATTTCTAATTATTTTTTGTGAACATTCAATAACATATTAATGAAATATAGAAAGATAAAAATTTATCAGTCAGAATTAAGTATTGAGTAAATTCACATGAAAAAATTTAATTATTACATACAAACAGTAATTAAAACTATGATACACAGTTTTGATAGCATCTCAATATATCATCATCAGAATCTTTAAAAACTAAAAAAAAATTTTAAAGTGCACATTATTATAATATGAACATAATCTGTTAAATTCAATGACTATAGCAGTGTTTCTCAACCTCTAATGAATTGTCGCCCCCTTCAATAAAACTGCTATGTAGTATCGCCCCCTTCACTTCAAAATTTCGATGTCGTGGGCCAGGGCTAATGCCAAATTCGTACTGCATTGAATAGACTGGTGACTAGTATAATATTATTTGTTTAATTATTGTACGATATAACGAATAAAATATTTAATTAATCTTAATATAATGTTTTACTATATCGCCCAGAAAATTGTTTTTCGTCCCCAAAATATAAATTGTTATAAATTGCCCCCTCAACATGGAAAAACGCCCACATGGGGGCGATATCGCCCGCGTTGAGAAACACTGGACTATAGTATTGCCATTTAACAAATTAAAAAATAATTTTACAATAAAACAAAGAGCCAAAATTAAGTTATTTTGTTGAGTTTTTCAAATACTTTATTTAATCAATTAAAATTAATATAAAAATTTTATTTGAAATTTTTAAAGTTTGAAATAAATACATTAATTACACTGAAATAACTAATTTGAAATTTAAATGGAAAATAAATTATTTTAATCATTCTGTTATAATCAATTATTTTTGTGATGCAAGCATTTCAATTTATATTCATACCTACAAATGATGAGAAACTGATCTATTTGTTTATCATTTAGATTATGGCTTGGTGTATATGCTAATGTTTCTAAATCTTCTAGTCTTCTGTCATCTTCACTGACTGAAATTAAGCAAATTTTTCAAATTAAACTCTTGTATAATAACATTTACTTAACTTTAACAATACTTTTAAACTCTTTACTTGTATTAATTAATTATTAACTGTGTATTATTAACTAATAACAAAGGTTATTTTAATCCAGTAAAATTTCAAAACTCCAGATCATCATATAAAATAGATACATTTTAATACATTTTTAACATATTATATTAAAAAATTATTAAAACAAAACACTTTCTATTTTATTTTATAAATCTTTAAAAAGATCTATAAAATAGAGATGTATTACTTTTAAGAAAATTACAAAATATTAAAATTGTTATATAAAAAGTTTTTTACCAATATTTTTATAAGTTTGCAAGATTTAAACTTTTAAATTAACTAAATATGCATCTTTTTAAAATTTTCATGTTATTAAAATTAATAAAATTCTTCTTGCTTGCTCAAATTGTCAGATGATGGTTAATGTTATCAGAAATATCAGATAAATAGAAATGGAGAGCAGAGCGGTTTGTGGAAATAGACATTGGAGTCTATTGTGATAAATGAAATAATTTCTTTACAGAATGTAATAAAATTTATAATTCCATTTAATGTTGTTATATACTTTCAACATAAAATTTTTAAAGACTTATCTTGAACTATTATACATAAAAATTCCAAATCTTTAATAAATAAAAAAATTCATAAATTTATTTATTTAAATATCATTAAAACTTGACTAACACATCAATTATAAATAGTATAACAAATCTTTGTTATATTTAATACCTAACACTGTCTAAAAAGTTTTATTATATTATCCTACTGTTATTGAAAAATTAATATTTAAGTAATAGAAACATATTATAAACTAAACAATTTGCTGCAAATAAATAATACACACACACACACACACACACAATAATACTCTTCTTACCATCAGGTAGTAAAGGTGGAATATCTGCTTGATATCTTGGTCCAACACGAATTTCTCCCTTGTCAGCTAAAAGTGTTTTTTGTTGAGGATCATAAACCAAAGAATAAAAGAATGTATCCTGTAAAAAAATGTTTAATTGTTATGAAATTTATATTATTTATTAATAAATCATGAATACAAAAATCAATTTTAAATATGCTTACTGTATTAAAAATAAAATATCAATAATTTCAAATTAGTGTTATACAGTGGAACCTCGCTTAATGAGCATAATTCATTCCAGAACCTTACTTGTAATGCGAAACACTTGTTAAGCGAAACAATTTTTCTCACAGAAATTAATGTAAAATATGATAATGCGTTCCATGCCAAAAAATTACTCAAATACCATATTTACTTTGTATAAGAAGAGGTTTTTATTCATTTTTCACTGCTTCAAAAATCTAGGTTGTCCTATATGCTTGAGTGAAGGATCCTTTGTGTTTTTGCACTAATTTTTGTAGTTCATACTGCCATTATAGCAGAGTTCTATCGAGGTCAAGGTGAATGTCGCTTTTAAAGAGATGATCCAAAAATAATTGGTCACTTAGCAATGATTATAATGTAGTTATTTTATACTTGTTGAATTGGTATTTTTAATGAATATTTGTACATTCTGAATCATTAAAAATAAACTTTTTCCTATCCGTGATAGGAAAAAGTTTATTTTTAATTATAATCTTTTGGTTTTGCTGCATGGGTATCAGGTGCATGGAAAAGCAATCTTCAAAAGCTGATAGCAGTCATTCAAAAAATACTGCATTTTAAATTCACTTGATAGATCAGAGAACAATGCTTTGTGGAGTAAAAGTGAAAAAGAGAAGAACTGTAACAAAGCTTCAAAGGGCAAGTCCAAGTAGACAAAAGGTGATAGCATCAAGAAAACATGGTTGTTTGCCTTAATACATGTATTTGATGATGATTTATTTGTGATTAAATGAAATAAAATTAGAATTGTAATAATAAATCTAAATTTTCTTTATTATGATCTTTCAAGTCACACCTCGTCCTATATGCAAGATCATCTTATATGTGAGTAAATATGGTATTTTATGTATAACATTTATTCAAAGAAAATTATACAATATACATGTTAAGGAGTGTGAATCATCATTATCTTTCTTCTAGCATGAAATGAACCAACCTGGAATGTGAATTTGATTTGCAGGGAGGAACAAAAAAAAGAAAAAGAAAAAAAAACACAGATAATAGCATAATAGAGCATGCGCACAATCCAGGACTTTCTCTCTCCTTGTCACTCATTATGCGAAACTTCACTTGTTGAGTGAGTCTTTTTTTTTTTAAATTTGATTTACTCGTTATGTGAGGTGCTCATTAAGCAAGGTTTCACTGTAATTAAAATCTTATTCCTTAATTTACAATGAAAAAATCTCATAACTATAAATCATATTAATGACTGCATTAATTAAAGAGAAACAAAACACCTTTTTTGCCAAGAAATAAATATAATTTTAAAAAACAAACGTTTTCAGCCTAGTTAATAAGCCATCTTCAAATCGAAAAATGGAACATAAATGTTCCATGAATAGAACATAAAAATTTTTTAAATCAAAAATTTTACAAGAGAAAAAATAATGGAAGAATAAAAAAAAAAAAAAAAAAAA